TGATTTTTCGAAGTTTCAGCTTAACAGTAGATAGCTAAAAACTCGAATTTTAGATCGAGTGATTTTTAGCCGACACGACCTAAACGAGAATCGAAGGTATCGTGATTAGTAGACAAACGGTAAAAAGTCTGACGAAAACGGACGTCGGATGAAAAAGTTATGAATTTTTAACGGATTTCCTGTCCCGGTCTGTTAAAAATAATAATATAAAAATTAAAGTCAAAACTAGCTGACGAAGTCTAAATGAAAGTTGTAGAGCGTAATTTTACCTACGCGTACATATAAAGAACGTCAAAAATGGAGCTCGTATGCGAAAGTTATGGATTTTAGAAGTTTTGGCGCGAAAATCGAGAAATTATTTTAAAATCCGAGAAATTTCGCATAGGTCACGTGGCACCTTCTGATTGGACCGCAGCCTCGCGTGGCACCTGCTGATTGGTCCGAAGTCGTCACCCCGTATATTAGGATTTTGCATTAAATAGCCGCCACGCCGTGGCGGTCATTTAAAATCCGCGATAAATCGACCATCACCACGTCGTGGGATGCCTTCACCACGTCGTGGGATGCCTTCACCACAACGTGGTCCGGCCCAAAATCCAAAATACATTAAGTTTAATTACCTCTGAGAATCCGGATGTTACAGTTGTTGAATCCTAACTTGTTAACATTGTAGATATTTCCAAGCTTAATCTTAAAGTTGATCGCCCAAATGGATCAACTGTAAGAGTTAATAAAATTGGGAATATGCATTTGTCTAATTATATATCTTTTTTTGATGTGTTTGTTGTCCTTGATTTTCATGTCAACCTTTTATCTGTTCACAAGTTATGTAGAGACAATAAATGTCAAGTTGTTTTTTATGAAAATAAGTTTATTGTTCAGGATTCACCGTCGAAGGAGACTGATAATGAATTTGGAGGCTTGTACTATCTTAATAATAAAAATAATGGTAGATATTGTTTTCCTAAGTCTACTACTTGTTTTGTTTCAAAGATTTGGTACAGTAGACTTGGACATCCCGTTGATTAGGCTTTAAATTGTCTTAAGGACTTGTTAAAATTTGGTAATGATTTTATTCCTCCTTGTGAGGTGTGTCACAAAGCTAAAAAAACTATAGAGTCATTTCCTCTAAGTGAACATAAAACTAAGTGTTTAGGGGAACTTATTCATGTTGATGTTTGCGACCCTTATAAGGTTGTTGCCTTTGGGGGTTTTAGTTTTTTTCTAACTGTTGTTGATGATTTCTTTAGAGCTACTTGGGTATATTTGTACAAAAATAAAGAATAAGTGTTTACTTGCTTTCAAAATTTATATCTTTTTCTTGAAAATCAAGTTAATATTAAAATTAAAGTTGTTAGATCTAATAATGGAACTGAGTTTGTTAATATTATAATGAAAAACTTTTTTGATAGTAAAGGAATTATTCATCAAACTTTTTGTATTCATACACCACAACAGAATGGTGTGGTTGAAAGAAAACATAAGCATCGTTTGGATGTTTCAAGGTATTTGTTGTTTCAATATGGATTACCTAAAAGATTTTGGGGAGTTGCTGTTTTTACAACTGTTTTTTAATTAACAGACTTCCCTCTTCGGTTCTTAAAGGGAAGTCACCTTTTCAATTGGTTTATAAACGATCTCCTCGTTTTGATAACATTAGAGTTTTTGGGTGACTTTGTTTTGATGCTAAACTTAATGCTTCAGATAAGTTTTATGAGAGGTCTGAGAAATGTGTTTTAATTGGTTATTCTAATGAGAAAAATGGTATAAGCTTTATAGTCTTAATAATAAAACTTTCTTTTCTAGGGATGCGAAGTTCTATAAATCTGTATTTCCTTACAAAATGGCTTCTAGACCTGATGGTGCTTTGTTTGATGAGTCTTTATTTGATTCTTCTGTTCTTGGGATCCTTTTTCCTATGATGAGTTGATTGTGTATGATACAGTGGATGATGTTCATCTCACGAGAGAATCTGCTAGCAACAATCAAGGTGGCAATGTTAGCGCTGGTCCTTTTCTTAGCGCAATTGGTTCTAACCAGGATGATACTTATTCTCTTGGTGCAATTGGGTTGGGTCAGGAAGGCATTCAAGATGGCTTCAACACTTCTTTGCAGCCTGAGTTGGTTGCTTAAGATTCTCCCAACCGTTCTGAGGAAAATGTCCATTCTTTACCTATTTTTTCTAAATTACATTCTACAGCAAGTAGGAGATCTAATAGAGAATCTAAATTACCTCAAAAATTTAATGATTATATAATAGAGGGAAAGTATACATATAGGATAAAAAAGAGTGTTAGTTATGCTTTTCTTGATTCTGAAAGTACGTGTTTTGTTTCAAATTTAAATAAGACTCTTGAACCTCAATCATATTTTGAGGCTGCTAATGACCCAAATTGGGCCAAGGCCATGAATGAAGAATTAGAGGCTTTGTATAGAAATCAAAATTAGATAATTACTGATTTGCCCCTGATAGGAAACCTATTGGCTGTAGGTGGGTATACAAGATTAAATATAAATCTAATGGAGAAGTTGAAAGGTATAAGGCCAGATTAGTGGCTAAAGGTTACAGTAAAAAAGAAGGCATAGATTACGAGGAGACTTTTTCTCTTGTTGCCAGAGTGGTGACTATTAATTGTGACTATTAGAATTGTCATTACTCTTGCTATTAATTATTGTTGGTCTTTATTTCAACTTGATATTAGTAATGCTTTTTCTTTATGGTGATTTAGATGAACATGTTTATATGAGCTTGCCTCTTGGTTATCATACCAAAGGTGACAAACGTGTTTGCAAATTGTTAAAATCTCTCTATTGTCTTAAACAAGCTCCACGTAAGTGGAATGAAAACTTATGCTCTTTTCTTTTGGATTTTGGTTTTGTACAAAGCCTAAATGATTTTTCGTTGTTTGTTAGAAGTGTTAACAATACTACAGTTGTCCTATTAGTTTATGTGGATGATATTATCTTAACTGGTAATAAATTGGATGAAATAAACGAAGTTAAAGATTTCCTAAAATAAAAAATTTTAATTAAGGATTTAGAAAAACTTATGTTTTTTCTTGGTATTGAAGTTATAAATGTTGATAAAGGAATTTGTTTATCACAAAGAAAATATTGTTTGGAACTTTTGCATGAATTTGGTATGTTAGGGTGCAAACCTTTTAAAAATCCTCTTGATACTAATGTTGTTATAAAAACTGATGGGGTTGATAATTTTGACAGCTTGTTAACAAATGTGATTGATTTTCAAAAACTTATAGGTAAATTGATTTATTTGACCATATTCCTTCTTAAGCTTGAATGTCTTTTTAAATTGAACCATAAAATAGTTCTTTTGATAGTTTAGATTCTTTTATCAACTATAAAAGGGAATGGTGTGTATTCCTTAAATCAATATTTATTTCTCTCAACCAACTCTAATTTGAAATCTCCAAAATATACATATGTTGCAATTTTCACGGGACAATAATCTCATCACATGACTTTGGCCTGTTTTTTCCCATTATTTGAGAAAATGAAGACATGCATGGGGAAAAATTGTTAGAGTTGTAGCCTGGTTTTGCTCTTGCATATAACAATATAGGGATTGTATTTGTTGCTAAGAGGTGATGAGAAGAAGAAATTTTTTGATTCAATAAAGCTAAATCCAACATGTTAAAGCAAAGACCATGTGTAGAGTTTGTACACAGAGGCGTTGAGGAGGGACAAAGTAGGCAGTTGCATACGACTCAATTTTTTTTATTATATATTTTTATTTAAAACTAAAAACTTATAATAACGATAAAGATATTTTTTTCTAAGTATATTTTTTTTCTGAGTCGTCTTCGTCTTAGAAAATATTTAATTCCTAAAGACCAATGTGAAACAATGAACCAATAAGCCCGATAATATACATCATAAGAGTATACATTAGAAATCTGACTGGCGGAAACGTAGCTGGGTGATGACTGATGAGTAGAAGCAGAGGAAGAAGAGGATGAAGCGATTCTTTCAACCAGTGCAGAAAGATGCGTCTTTCAAGAAACCAACACTCTCTTCTACTTCTTCACCATCACCAGCCAACGATGGCGAAACAGAAGAAACAGCAACAGCAACAACAACACCGGTCGAAGAAACCCAAAAGAAACAACCCACAAAGTTCTTGACTTGGAATGCGAACAGCTTCTTACTTCGCGTTAAAAACAACTGGCCTGAGTTCACCAAGTTCATCGACTCCATTGATCCTGATGTTATCGCCATACAGGTTCCATTTGCCCTAAATTATTTTCATGATTTTACCTTTTACAAGACTGAAATTCAGTATCTTCGTCTTATTAATCCCACAAATGCTGTCAAGAGACGAGGATTTCGTAATGGGTTCTTGTAGGGACATTCAAATGTATGAATTTGGGGTTTATGGAAGCTCAAACTAAACCTGTTCTGTTCTTAGCTGTGTTAAAATTTTATGACAAATTTGATGAATGCGATATATATTTCATGAGAAATCTAATGTTTGGTAGGAAGTAAGGATGCCTGCAGCTGGTGCAAAAGGCACTCCTAAAAACCCAAGAGAATTGAAGGACGATAACAATTCTTCACGAGAAGAAAAACTGGTACTTGATCATCTTAAAATTTCAAGATTCGAGTTTTGTTTTCTTCAGTTTATATGTATCGTTCCCAAATTGTGCAGATTATAACGCGAGCCTTATCAGGTCCAACCTTTAGAAAATATGATGTATGGTGGTCTCTTTCTGATTCGAAGTATGCTGGAACTGCACTGTTTGTAAAGAAGTGTTTTCCACCAAAGAAGGTTTCTTTCAATCTAGATCTCTCAGGTACTCCACTTTTTTACAGCATGATTGTTAAACTCATATATTTTTTGGTTATTATGCAAATGCAACATTATCACTTATTTGGATGTTGTAATGAATTGATAACGTCTTTCTTATTCATAGTTTCCAAGCATGAAACAGATGGCCGAGTCATCATAGCTGAATTTGAATCATTTCGTATAATGAACACATATGTACCAAATAATGGTTGGAAAGATGAAGAAACTTCATTTCAAAGGAGAAGAAAATGGGATAAAAGGATGAAAGAATTCATCTTGCAATCTACTGATAAACCCCTTATATGGTGTGGTGATCTTAATGTCAGGTAGGTACCTTTCTTTTGCTAGATATAAAAACAAAAACAACTGATTAGACATAAGAAGCACATCCAAACACTATCTTTCTATAGCCCGTTTTGTTTTGTTACAACTGATTATCTGATTGTGAATAATTTGTAGTCACGAAGAGATGGATGTTAGTCATCCAGAATTTTTTCGTACTGCAAAGATGAATGGTTATGTTCCTCCAAACAAAGAGGTGACGGTGATGTACTAGAAAAAAATATGTAAACAATTTTGCCAATTTAAGTTCCAAAAATTAACTTCAAACTTCCGTCTCCTGTAGGATTGCGGACAGCCTGGCTTTACTCTGTCTGAAAGGAAGCGCTTTGGTACCATTCTCAAAGAGTATGTATATAAATATAATTTGTACATGATTGATTTACATCTGACATGATACTTTTGGGGGAGTGTAGTGTAGTGTGGGTCAGGCCAGCTTAGGGGTTGCTTTAAGAATAACCCTTTTTACAAGATCAACTTTGTATTGTTTTTCAGGGGAAAGTTAATAGATGCATATAGATTTCTTCACAAAGATATAGACATGGAGTGTGGCTTCTCATGGTCTGGCAACCCTATTGGAAAGTATGTATTATCATTTGAAGTGGTTAATTTTATAGCATCTTTATTTCTTGTTTTTTTTACATATATTATTTTTATGGATTTATGTGTAGGTATCGTGGGAAAAGGATGAGAATAGACTATCACTTGGTGTCGGAAAAACTCAAGGACAAGATTATTAAATGTGAAATGCATGGCCAAGGGATTGAATTGGAGGGTATGTCTTAGTTACTAGTTTTGGGCCCATGTTTACAAACTTCAAAAAAATTGCAAAATTTTGTCCCACGCCAAACATAGTACAAATTGTTTTGTCTGGAACATGTTAAAGTGTCTTTAATTTTGTTGCAGGATTTTATGGGAGTGATCATTGTCCTGTTTCCCTTGAGCTTTCTGAGTCAACCATTGATGGTAATGACAGTGAAAATCCAATTCCAGAGTGATCACATTGCTAACATATTGAACACAAACTAGTTTTATTAGAGCTATTGGTTAGGTGCTGAATTTGTGGTGGTGTTTAACTTAGAGCTAACTATGGGTGGCTGTACTGGTTGCAGTGTGTAAAAATACGTATGAATTCTTGATTTAACCATTTTGTTGGGATTAATAGTTATATCAAGTTTTTGGTAATTGAATGTCATTACGGTTGAAAAGTAAAATTCCATTGTGAAATTATTTGCGATTTACATATATTTTTTATAATGAGTTTTTAGCTTTTAAAAAAATCTCAAATTAAAGAAAAAGGACAAGTTTAAAGCTTCCTAATTCAAATACTTCAAATTCTTTGAAAGCTTTTACAGTTTATGTTTTATGTCATTATACTTTGCAATTTTTCTTGAACACTTCTACACTACTATATTTTCTAACTTTCAGCTTTTAGTTAATAGCTTTAGTCTTTCAATATGCAAACCAAAAACTAGTTTTATCAGACATTAATGAATGTTGGGAAGAGAAACTGATAAGTCATAGTTTACTTTCTTTTAACTGACTTTTTTTTTTCAAATAAAAGAAATCATATAAGACAACTATCATAGAATTACTCCAAAATTTTGTAAGATACTTTAGCCATATTTACCAACGTATTTAAAAGTGTATGTTTTACTATTTAGTGTAGTAAGTTAATCATTTTTTACTATTTCGTATAAATGTTACTTTTAATGTAATTAATTTACTAGTTTACCGGTTTATGCAACTGTTTCTTTGTTATCTTCATATATGTTATTCTAATATTTAAAAGGGATAATGACTTAAAAGAGTAATATACTTTTTTATTTGTATACATTTGGTCCCTGAGTTTTTTTCGTCCACATTTGCCCATTCAATTTGTTTAACTATATACATTCAGTACTTATGATCGACTACTCCTGAACCAGAAAAAAAAAAAAACTTAATAGGGTAATATATTTCTCACGTTGTACATATTTAGTCCTTAATATTTTCTTTTGCACATTTAATCCTTAATATATTTTTTGTTGCAAAACAAGTCCTTGTTGTTTTTGTAAATATTCAATACTTATGATCGGCTTCTTTAGGTTTTTCTCACGATATTTTACGTAGGATAATCATTAATGTGGTGTTCGGGGCTGTTGATGTAGCCACCGTGACCTCAGCTGCTTGGTTCCTTAGGTCTTGTGTTTCGCTTAAGTCTTGTGTTTTAAACGTCGTTACTTCTTCATACAATCTCAAATTTAAACGATCTTTATATCCACATGTTCGTATTTAAGTTTACTACAACTTTCGTTTAGATTACTCCCGTTAAAGAGTAATATATTTTTACTTACGATTTTATATACATGTGTTCTTTATGAATGTATGTATGAACATTTTTTTTATAAAATCGTAAGTAAAATTATTACTCTTTAACGGGAGTAATCTAAACGAATGTTGTAGTAAACTTAAATACGAACACGTGGATATAAAGATTGCTAAAATCTGAGATCGTATGAAGAAATTACGGCGTTCACATGCGATCTAAGCACAAAGCAATCGAGCCTGAAGTGGCCATAAACATGAACAACCACAGACACCTAATTAATAATTGTCCTATATAGGATGTTGTGAGAAAAAACCTAAAAAACTGTCATAAGTACTGAATGGGTACAAAAGAAACAAAGACTTATTTTACAACAAAAAATATTAAAGACTAAATATGTAAAAAGATATTAAAGACCAAATGTGTATAAAGTGAAAAATATATTACCTTTTTAAGTCATTTTTTCCGGCTTACCTGAAGTAGGCGGTCATAATGACTGAATGTGTAACGCCCGAGTTTCGGGGCTAAGCATTATCAAATGATGTAATGATGTAATAGTCTAGGTCAACTATTGTAACTCTTTTGAAGTAATAAAGATGAAATATTTAAATACTATTTAAATTATGTGTATTTGTGTGCTTATAATTTAATTATAAAGGTACAATTAATAAAGAATAAAAATAAGCGTCAAAATTAAAGTGTGAGATAAGCCCGATATCTTTACATAAAGTTGTAGAGTACGTTTCCGCATACGCGTGGATATAAAGAACGTCGAAAACGGAGTTCGTATGCAAAAGATACGACAGTTTTAAGAAAATCAGACAGTAAAACACTGCTTTTCTTTAATCGCATAAAATCGAATCGATCCGTTGATGTACTTACGCTTTGCCGACGGGATTTCCGATAACATTTTTGGACTCAGGTTATAGTCTATTATTTATTTTCACACTCGAAATATTTTTAACAAAAATATTTACAAAAGTCACGAAAACGGACACCGCGAGCCGTTTAGACGCAAAACTTCAAACGCAATTTTCCGGAGATCCGTAACTCCAAAAATTAATCCGTTTAATGTTCCAGAATCCTTGAATTAAACTCTATCTAACGGTATTCTCGAAAAAATTTCTCAATGCACGGATCTCGAGACACCCGATTTTGTATGTTTTGGGTAATTAAATGAGGAATAACCCATGTGGACCCACATGACTTGCATGGGAGAAAATCGCCAGCCAATTGCTTCTCCTCTTGGTCTTGTCCACGTGATCTTCTCCTCATCCTCACTCTTTTGCTTGCACACTTCAATTTGTGAGTACATTGCTTAGCTGCAGGCATTGCTCAAACTTATATGTGAGTGTGTGTGTTTACTATAAATTGAGGCTTAGACACCTTCATTTCTCACTCACAAAATCTGTCATCATCTTCCTCTTCTTCCCCTCTCTCAATCTTAATCTCTCCCTCTATATCCCTCTCTATCTCTTTTAGATTGAAAAACCACCATTTCCACCACCCACTACCATCTTGGTGCCACCGTAAGTCCTCCATCGCTAAGATTATTATTTTTATTATTTTTTTTCCTATGTTGTTCGAACTCACTAGGGAAGCAAGAAAAATTCATGTGTTTTCTTTCTTAAAACCTCATGCACAT